CAGCACCGCTCTACCAATTGTACAAATGTTCTTAAATTGCGCTTGTGTGAGAATTACTTCTTAACTTCGAGTGCTGATATTCCCAGAGAACTATCACGTGAATAGTCCGCTTGTGTCTGAAGTATTGATATAGCAAAAATGGCATTGTCGGGATGAATACTACTGTGGCCGGAGTAATATGATTTAAATAGTACTGACATCCAGGGGGTATCATTATTTCTACAGTATACTTGTATCTCAAGAATACTGTTATATGAATGGCACCATTGGATGGAGTTCACAGATATACCTCCTGTAGTATTCTATAAGGAGAACAAGTGTCTAAGCCGCTGAAACATGTTACAGGAGTCCAGGGTTGTGAAGTATAGAGCTGTACCAGCAGTATTATTATATGGGCGTTCTGGGAGTATACAGGTACTGTACGAACAGCTAAATCGTTTGAACCTTGAAAACCGCTTGGAGGAGACATATATAAGGGGCATTTCTGCGTAAGGGGTACGGATATCCTCCAGTGTCACTATATATGAAACCTACCCAAGAGTTCGTAATACTTACATGTGGAGAATAGTAACACCGTTATTCTATTGGTATATGAGAACAGCAGTTGCACTTGGGGTACCATTATTTGTACAATACTGGTGTGGATTTCCATTGCTAGTGATGCGCGCGGATATAAGTGTACTACTATTATGTGAGGAGTACTGTCGTCCATGTACTAGTGTCTGTGAAAGATTCCGAGCTTATGCTTTCATTATATGAATAGCAATTTCCTGTGAAATCCATACATATTCCAGTTTAACTATTGTCTAGAAGCTACTGATGCCTGTAGATATTCAATGGTGAGGAGTCCGGAATTCCCCATAGTATTGTTCTATGAAAGTATTAGTAGTCGAGCTATATGGATCACCTTGAGTGCTACTATACTGACGGAACCATGATGTGTGGAGTTTCTTGCCTTTATGAGTAAGATAACCTCTGGAGTACGATTTTTTGGGAGAGTAATGGTGTGAAAGGAGTATCGTCCTGCTTACAACCCTCTCGTGTGGATAATACTTCCATTTGAACAGGATATTTGCTGAAGGAGTATTCATGACTTGGAGTACTGTTATGGGGACACTACAGGGGTATGTATAGTACTCATATCTAAAGTTGCCTAATATGACTGGTACGACGACATTTGATGAGTGCCGAGGTTAAGCCGGTATTATTAAGTAAAGAGAGGTGCAGAATTTATGA